GTCATAATTTTAACATGTATGAAACTTTTGAAAAACTGAAAGCAAATAGTATTAAAGTTTATGCGGTGAAAACCGATGCCTTTCATATTGCAAAGAAAGATGTAAGGAAGGCAAAGAAGTTGTTAGATTTTCATAATGATATTGGAGGCTGGAGAGTAGAAAATAATAAAGTCTATGAACTGGAAACTGATTACAATTGGAAATTTAATGAGTTAGTAAAAATACCAACTTTTCAGAATGAAACAATACCGATTGAAGATGAGTGGGATGTTGAAAGCATCTGTAATAAGATTATTGAAAAAAGAAGAGTTATGATTAGAGCAAAATTTGCTGGGAGCGGTAAAAGTTTTATAGGCAAGTATATGGAAAATTTAGGACACAATACACTTTTTGTAGTGCCTCAAAATATGTTGAAACAAGAGATTGAATGCGAAGCGGTGACAGTAAATACATTCTTTAGTATTCCAGTTGATAAAGGGGATGACCTACCAAAGTTTGATTATTCAGATTTTGATTGTATAGTGTTTGATGAGATTTATATGTCCAGTCCTTACATATTGAACAAAATAAGGGTGTTTGCAAATAACAATCCTGACATCGTAATTATAGGTGCCGGTGATGTCAAGCAACTGCCACCGATTGAACCTTTCACTAATACTCAAAACGCAGGCGAATACATTGACAAATGTATTGACATTATTTTTAAATATAATATATTTTTAAAGATATGTAAGCGAGTAGGTGGTAAGGATACAGAAGAAGGAGAAAGAAACAGAAAGAAACTGAATGAAATCTATGATGACTTTTGGATTAAAAAGATGGCAGTTGAAGAATGGATAGTTAAGCATTTCAAATTTACTAAAGATGTTATGAATAGTGAAAACAACATAGCATATACAAATATTAGATGTGAGGCAGTATCCAATGAGATTAGAAAAAGATTAGGTAAAACATGCAAATATGAAATTGGAGAAATCTTAATATGCAGACTTTACAAAAAGGACAAGGAAGGAAAACTGAATGTTAATATTAGGTGGAAGGTTGTTAATAACGAAGGATACAAGATAACAATACAAGATATCAAGGATGCAGAGAACATTAGAACACTTGACATTGATATTGTAGATAAGCATTTTAGATATGCCTACTGTGCTACCACTCATAGCAGACAGGGGACATCAATCAGTGATAATATGACCATTCACGAATGGAACAAAGATTATTTAGTTTGTAGGGAATGGTTGTGGACGAGTATCACACGAGCGAGGGATTTTAACAATGTCTATTTTTACAAGAACAAAGAGGGAGATGAAGATATGTTTAAGAGTTTGGTAATCAACTATTTTAAAAACAAAGTTGAAGGATATAAACAGCAAGATAGAGTAGCAAAAAGAGAAATAGACGAAGAGCAATACATTGACGAAAACTGGTGCTTAAAATACTTCAAATCCTGTTGCCAAAACTGCGGAATTAAATTTAATCTAGATACAAGAGGAGGAAAGATAAGTTCTAACTTCACTGCTCAACGTTGTGATAATGAGTTATGCCATACGGTTGAAAACTGCACCGCCTTCTGTGTCTATTGCAATTGTAGTGCGTCATGAATAATTTTGAAAATGAGTTTTTCAAAATTATTTTATTAACTTAATTAATGAGTTCAACACAAGAAATTATCAAGAGTGTATATTATGATAGAAGCGGTTATGGTTCAAAACAAACAACCCTCAAGGATGCTAAGCAAAAAGATAGTAGTATTACAATTAACGATATTAATGAATTCTTTAGTAAAAATGTAGAAGAAAAAAGAAAGATGAGAGGTGAAAATAGTTTTATTGCTCCGCATAGTTTCTGGGAATTTCAAGTTGATATGTTTTTCATTTCTAAAAATGATTTGGAAAATCAAACATTTAGAATTGGAATGATATGCATTGATATATTTAGCAAATATATGCATATCGTGCCAATTAAATCCAAGACACCGCCAGACATTTTAGCAGGAATGATGGAGAATATCAATAAGATGGGTGGCAAACCGAAATTAATTTATACCGACGAGGAAGGCAGTTTTTTTAATCAATCAGTATTAGATTATTTGAAGGAGGAGAAAATTGAATTACATAGAACTAGAGGTCATCCAGCATTTGCGGAGCGTGGAATTCAGACTTTTAAAGATCAACTGTTTAAACGAGTTGAAGCGGACAAGAAAAATGGAAAGCAGAATATCCAATGGACGGATTATATTTTTGAAATATTATTAACTTACAATAATAAGAATATTCATTCCGCAACTAAATTTACACCGAAGGACGCAAGAATGAAAAAGAATGAATTTGAAGTAAAAATGAATATTACAATGCAAGCAAGAAATACTAGAAAATACCCTGAGTTGTCAGTGGGTAGTAATGTAAAAATAATGAGGAAGAAAGGCATAAGCGAAAAGGCACATACCAGTCATTGGTTAAAAGAAGTATTTAAAGTAAAATCAATTGATAGTAAATTAGGGCAATCTTACTTTCATTTGGAAGGAAAAACTAGTCCTTATTTGAGACACGAATTATTGAAAGTTTAATATTAAACGAAATACAGTTAAAGAAAAAACGCCTTATATTATTAGTGAAATGTTATTTAATTATTCAAATTGCGAATGTTGTACAACTAAAAGGAATGATGTTAATATAACATTGTATAAGTTATTACCTGCTAATCTATGTAATAAAATAAGTGAATATAATGTATACTGCAATCAATGCTGTATAACAAGAGACTTTGAAAAGTTTTTTCTTGAAGAACATAAGGACAAGGGATATACAAAGTTTCAATTACAGTTAAAATTCTTTATGCGACACCAAGCAAGATTTCCTATACACTTTTACCAGAAGATTTCCAGAAAGTCATATGAAAATGAAATTGATGAATTCTTTAGTAATATAGATTTAATTAGGAGGTTTGGAGGAATAAACGCAATTAAACCATACAAAGCATTTGTCAAAAAATACCGTTATTTGTTTGAATGGATTGACTGGCATTTATTAGACAAAGATAAAATAAACGAAGTCTTGAACGAATTTAGAGCAACTAAATATAGTATATGGTATTACTACAACACTAAATATAAAGTATGTCTATTGTTGTATTTATTCTTTTGGGAATATATTTATTCAATAATAGGAAAAAACAATATCAAATATATATACATTGGTGATATAGATAAATATGTAGATTACATATTTGAAGACATATTGCCTGACCATTATTTTAATCCATAAACCTTACAATAAAAAACATTGTAAGATTTATGATTTCAAAATGACTTGAAGAAATAATAACTTAATATATTATAGTAAAATGAGTGATACAGTCGGTATCAATGCTAAAAATATATTGAAAGACAAATTTATGAGTTATAAATGTGATGACTGTGAAATGCTCAAATTACCAATTGAACGGGGTTTTGCAAATGGTGTTTGTAATAATATTTGTCAATATATAATATGCAATAATTGCAATAGAATTATAAAAAAAATTGATGATATGAATAACAAGGATATTGATATTATAAATAATGAAACTATTGATGATGATTTAGAAATATTTGTATTTATTGAAATGAATAATTTCTTAACTATAGAAGGATTTGATAATTTATTAGAATGTAACGACGAAGGATATAATAATGATTTTATTTTTAAGTATTATAGTATTGTAAAACAATTATACAATATGTCTTTTAATATTAAACGTTTAAAATACGTTGTATTGTTTGATTTTTTAAATGAGTTTTTAAATGATGAGTATAAAACTCACGAACTTAGATATACAATAAAACGTGCGATTGGAATAATGGGAATGTTTAGAAAACAAATAAAAAATAATTTTTATAATGAAACAACGTGTGACAAAATAATAGAAAGAATTAAATTAATAATTTAGTTTTAGGCGAAATAGTCCTAAAGAAAAAACACCTTATATTAATAGTGAAGAAATGAACGGTATTGAAATCAATAAGTATATTAATAAGAAATGCTACGACTGTTGCCACTTTAAAAAAGAAAATATGGAATTGTATAAATTAAATTTACCTAATGGAATAATAAATAATATTATTGATTATGCTTTGGGTGAAGAAGATTTATGTAGAACTTGTAAAACCTGGAGAGATAACCAAGCTATAATCAAATGTTTGTTGAGATTAAAAGGAAGACATAATAGAAATGTAGAAGATGACATTTTGATATTTTTAACTGTGTATAAATTACCACCTTACGTTTATGTTAAACAGTTTCTTAAAATCAGTAAGAAAAAATATGAAATGATTCATGATATATTAAGGATGTTGTGTCATAGTCAAAAGAAAGGAGATGATATTAAAGAATATATCAAATATTATATTGAAATTTATAAAAAGTTTAATGTTAAAAATACAGTGAGAGATATTAATATTATTTTTAAAATGATGTATGACATAAGTGAGATTTGTCAATTAAATTATTATCCTGAACTTAAATTATAAATTACACCATAAACCTTACAATAAAAAACATTGTAAGATTTATGTTTTGAAATTATGGGGATTTTGGGATTTGGGATTTTGGAAAAATATATTTTGGGAATTTGGGATTTTGGGATTTGGGAATTTGGGATTTTGGAAAAATATATTTTGGGAATTTAGAAAAATATTTACAAAATTTATGTATCAAATCTTGAGTTGAGGTTCTGTTATGAAATGATGAAAAAATATTATGTGAATTGGTCGGTTGAGGGGATTTTATATTTTAGGATTTTGGAAAAATATATTTTGGGAATTTGGGATTTTGGAAAAATATATTTTTGAAAATTTAGAAAAATATTTGTAAAATTTATGTATCAAATCTTGAGTTGAGGTTCTGTTATGAAATGATGAAAACATATTATGTGAATTGGTCGGTTGAGGGGATTTTATCTAACTGGGGCCTGGCCTTTGGTAGGTGTTTCCCCCCCAGCCCCTGTGGCCCACTGCCCCCGCCTCCAGGATCTGCTCGAAGCTGGTGAGGTGCCAGAGCCTCCCCAGCGGCGCGCGAAAGTGGAAGTCCTCCCCGGCCAGCTCCGACGCCTTCACCAGGTCGCTGTGCCGCAAGGTCCGCATCACCGCCTCTGCGCACCGCCGGCTCATCGCTCCGGCCACCGACGCGGGAGAATCGGAGCACCAAAAGGCGGGCCGCGGCTTCCCAACCGAGCGAAAAACCGGCGGCTGGGAGAAGTCCCGGTTTGGAGGGTTTGGGAGCCCACCCCTCAGAGCCAGGGGTTCAAATCCCCAAACCGCCCGACCAGATCCTCCAGCTCTTACGTAGAAGGAAGAAATACAAGTGGGGGGTTATACATCAGAGGTCAACACCACCCGTTTTTGTCTCAAAATGGGTGAGGGGACCCAACAAATGAGTAGGGAAAACAAAACAAATCGGCCTCTACTTGGCAAACCTTGAGCCCACTTGGATTTCGTCATCTGTTCTTCGCTCATTCAAAGAAAAAAGATGTAAGATGATCCCAAACGTTGGCCTAGCTTAAGGTACCCAAAGGAAGGGTGTCTGAAAATTTCGGAAACCCCATCTGGAACTGCCATTGCAGGGGACTATCCCTGTCATCCCCTAGTCAGAATTCAGCGGGGCGAAAAATGTCCACCAACCACTTTGGAGTTTCCGATTCTTGCATAGCCAGATGTGCCATGGTCAAATTTGGGGCTCGATCACATGGCAGGGAAGCTGGTTGTTTGAGGTGTATCTCCTTTTCAGGTTGGTTTACAGGAAATGTCAAATGTGGGTACCGTTCTTTGAGGTACTGTTCGTTGTTTGAGGGCCCTTCTGCTTTGCCAGGTACCGCATATGAAATACTTTGACCTGTTCGTTCAAAGTTCCATCCAGCCGGGTACCTATTGTTGTTGAGCGCACCCTTCTCTTGGGTGCCCCATTTGTTCAAACAAGTGTTGGTGAAACAACGGGGAAACCAAATGGAGTTTGTTTCAGCAGTTCCGCGGGTCAACCATGCGTTTGGACCAGAGCAATCAGAACCCCCAAACTTATGGGGCTTTTCCTTTAAACCAAAAGAGAAGGGGGCTGCACCTCCAACCAGCACCCGGCCATGTGTGATTCTCTGGCTTTAAAGGGAAACCAGCCGAACTCAACCGCTTGAGCGCCCACCTGCAGCTGGTCGTTCCAGTGGAAGACCGTGTGGTGCCGCAGCTCGTTGGCCAAGCTCTGCCGGTCCCTTGGGGCCGCGTTGTCCCGCGTGCGCGTCAGGGAGAAGGCCAGGCCCAGCGACAGCATCCCCGCAGGGCACTGCGCGCTCCAGTCGCGCAGATCCCCGGTGGCCCACTGATCCAGAAAGGCGCCCGCGGATCCGAGCTCGCCCAACCCGGAGCCCAAAGAAACCAGAAACTTCTTCAGCACTCTGCGGAGGCCGCCCCAGCCGACATCAGGAACCGATGCTGGAACCGTGTCCAACTGCAAAGGCAAAGAGAACAGGCAGGTGGGATCTGGATGGAAGCCCAATTGCCTCACCCAAATCTCGTCAGCGCCCAGTCTCTCCAAATACGCGTAGTTGTTCCTTCGGAGCCGGTCCGACAGTCGCTTGTACATGACCTCGGGCAAAATGTCATCCACCTCGACGCTGATGACATCCACCCGATGCTTCTGGAAGTTGAAGGATCTCAAAATCTCCAACTCCGAGCCTTCCTCAAGAGTGGCAACCACTGGATTGTGTACCACGGGCCATCCTTATGACTACTTTGTTAGACCATTTTCTCTTAGCATCACGGAAAGTGGGCTAAAATCTGACTTGCGACCATAGGACCTGAAAACGGGTGCTCGCCTTGGGAAACATTGCCCCAAAATGGTCAAGGCCTCAATCGGTCAAGAAGGCCGATTCCCTTTCCTTTGGGACGATGACAAGAATAGTTGAACAATGGGAGAACCTCGGCTTTGGGCAAAACTTGTCTCGCTAGATCCGTTGGTATCACGAGTGGCAACCCCAACACCTCAACACCCGGAATGTCGACTCCATGCTTCAGCATCCTGAGTGTTCATTCAATTCTTTGGGATGGCTTCTTGGCGACTGCATCACTTTTAAGGGGCTTGCCTTGGTTGGTTGTTTCAAGGGAAAAACCCAATGGAAATAGAAATGGACCTCCTCTGCATATGTGTACAAAAAATATACCTTTTAATTGAAAAAAAAACTGGCACCCCGCCCCATCCATGGTACCACGGTAAGCTCTTCCAAGTGTCCGTATCCAGGGAGAGGTAGTCGATGTGCGCGCCCATCTCGCCCAGGTGCTCGTCGATGAGGTCCCCGAGGCTGCGGCACCGGAGCCGCGTCACGGCCGCGGAGGCGGCGGTGAGCTGCTGGCGGCTGGTGGTGCCGCTGTTCAGCCCGTCCTCCACGAAGTCCTTGTCCCCTTCGGACTGTGGGTTGGTTGAAAAGTTGGGAAGGGTGGATGAGGTGTCAAAACCCAGGAAACCCTGGTGAACATCAAAGCTGGTACATGGGTGTTCCTCCGCGCCAAAATGGAGCCACAGGGTGTGACCCATGGCCAGATGTCGGGGGAGTTGGGGGTTGGAGAGTTGAGAGGGTGGGTTGGGGGTTGGGGGGTTGGGGGCTGGGGGGTTGGGAGTGGTGGTTGGGGTTGGGGTTGGGTTGGGTTGGGGAGGGGAAGACATTTCCGGTGCCCGCCTGTGGCCCCCGCCACGCAGGCCCTCACCGTCTTGGCCTTGGGCCGGTTCTTCTGCAGCTCTCGAAAGGCCGCAGGCATGGGCTCGATCAGCAGACCCGTCCACCCCAACTTCTCCTCGAAGGCCAGGCTGTTGCTCTTCTCCACGCCGTCCCCGGCGCCCAGATCCACGAACACGCCTGGAATGGAAAGCGGCCCAAACTGGCAAAAAAAGCAAAACCGGGGAACCCAAGCAAGCCGCAATCTTTAGGAGATTATTTTTGGCTCGGCTTCTTTCAGGGGTTCCACGTCCATCTGAGGGTCGCAATTGAATTTGTGGGAAACCCAAAGGGTGAAACCCACAAACAAACAAAAAAGGAATGATCTCCGGGGGGAGAAAAACTTCGAGGAAAAAACGAAACCCTCTGGTTGCAACGGCTCTTCAAAAAAAAACTCAAGGTTGGGTTGGCTTGTTGGCATAGAAGCCATTGGGTTGGCCGTTTGTGTGCCAAAAAAAGAAACATCCAGAAAATGGATGTTTTGTCCGCGAAGTCTGCGCCTTGCCGCAGCGTTTGGCCCGCAGCTGCCATGTACCACCTGGACCCCGGCTCCTCACTGTAGAACCACCGCATGATCTTGCCTGCGACTCAATCCCCGGTGTAATAGGGTGGCATGTGTCCAATGTTTCGGCGTTTGCTCTGGCAACAGCTTCGTGGGGGGAAAAGCCACCTTCTTCGATTCTTAAGCTCCAAAATACGTTGTGGTTGGCCCAGCTGTAACTTTGGGCTAACCCAAAAACCCATCGCCCAGCTGCGGTCTTGGCCATACTGCGAGTGCCAGCCCTCCAGCCAGTCAATCCCGAACTCTTGCTCCGGGCCCGGGCTTCCGAAAACGGCCTGCGCGGCCCCAGTGCCCAGACCTGCCAGAACACCAAGTCGCCTCATGGCACCAAAGCATCTTGGGTGAAGACTCACCCATCTGACTTGTGATGTCTGTTTTAACATATATATGTTATATATGTATAGAGAGAGAGAGAGAGTTGAGGAAGAGTGAACGGGGGTAAGGAAGTCTAATGTTTGAAAGTCGGTGGTTCATGCCCAGGTGGCAGCCCCTCCGCGAACAATGTGTTGCTCAAACGCGAAAGTGGAGGGGATCAATTGCAGGCTGGGAATAACCTGAGCTGAACACTTAGAGTCTGATCTTTTGCGACTGGGCCAAGATTTCTGGCACACATCCAGTCTCGCATGATAGCACCCGTGCATATAGTGCTGCTTGACGCATTTGCTGCGGCTTTCTGATCCACAATGTCTGCGACATCTCAAATGGACTGCACTCTCCTTCCGCTTTGCTTTTTTGCGCACTCCACGGACTCCCCGGCCTCCATACGCCTGGCCAGGACTTCAAGCGTCGATGCGTGTCCCTTTGACATTGACACATGAGTGTCCGACAATATGACCGCCATAAGACGACAACCCAAACACCAACCTGCAATGCAAAAAGAGGGAGACGGCCCACCCAAAACCGATACTCTGGAACAAAGCATGTCCCTTGCTCATTCGTGGGTTGCATGACATGTGCTTTACCTCGCAAAAACCGTCCAAACCTGGTAAGGTGGGCTACCGAGTCCACCCCCAGCCCTCCCGGAACGGCTTCATTCGGAATCGACGGGTTCGACGGCCTCCATCTCTGACCTCGGAGTGAGTCAGGCTGAGGCTCGGCGCTTGCCCGAATTGTCGGACACCAATCCCATGTGGCTATCCATACGCCTCTCGCTATGTCTGTGACTTAGTGGTTCCTTCCCTTGCTGAAGGTGCAGTTTCAGTGGGAGGTGTCATAAACTCCTCTACACTCCCTCCTCGTTTCTCAAAGTCGTAGGCACCCTGTGGCTGGCAACCGAGGGACGAGGATAACACCGTGCGGAAGCCGTGCCATCCTTCACTCAACGGGTAGGCTTCTGGCTGAAGCGAGGCCCTCTTGGGAGAAGCACCTTCTTTGCGGCGTCTCCTGAGCGGAGACCGGCAACACCACACTTGGCAGCTGGGAATCCAAGGCTGAAGGAACTGCGTGCAAAGTATGGGTATGACTTTAAAAAGAAAAAAACACCTATTGGTGGACCACCCCAAAAAGCAACATGACGGTAGGTCGCCCAGCCATTCGGTTTCTTGGCATTCTTGCCTTTCTGCTTGCACATGAGACACGCTGGGTCGGATTGCTGAAAAAGTGGGAAATCTGAGGCCATAGCTTAAAGACGCCTTATTTTTGATGTTCTGATTCTGAACGTGGGTCTAAGGGTTGATTCCAATTCCACTTTCTGTTTTCCCCAGTAAAGGCTGCACGCGACGTATGAAGCTCTGGCGTTAGCCACTACTAGCTTGACGGAAACCTGCAATTTTCTGCACCAAATGGCCATGGCCTCAAAAACCGACAGCGACTGGACGTGGGAGATGTTAGAGCTAGCCTTCAAATGGGAGATTCCAACCATAGAAGACCCCCCATAAGCGCTGTCACCATACAACAGCTACTCGGCACTGTTGGACTCATCACGCAAAAATAAAGTTCTACTCTGGCGTTTCGGCATATCATGGCCGCATCCCTTGCGCTTCTTGGAAGCTTCAGATAAGCTGTACTGGTTGTACACACCAGGACAGCTGCCAGCCGCAGCGCTTCGGGGCAAAAAGCGGTCATTGCCGTGCTGGTCTCTGTGTCTCTGTGTGTGTGTGTGTGTGTGTTTTCTTCTCAAAGCTTGAAGATGGATTTCCGAAAGCTTGCAGCTCCCAAACCAATCAGTGGTTGTGCTGCGGGAGATGAGGCAACATGCCCAAAACCACAATTCACCACCTCAAGCCCCGCCAAAAACCTGCACTGCCGGTCCAAAAACAGCTGAAGAGATTGAGGTGGAAAGCGACAAACGGGTCTCCGATCGGATCGGACTCCGCACCTGGACTTCTTCCGCTTCTCGGTCTCGGGCCTTGCGAAGCATGTGGGAGGCGATTTAAGGAGGGGACTTGCAGCTCTATCGGAGTGCCAAAACAATCCCCTTTCGGACCCCCGCCCAAGGTGCCGCCTTTTCAAGGCAGCCACCAAAACGGGCCCTAGTTTTGACAACCCAAGCGGCTTGGCGGGCCAGCGGAGCAGTCAAACTGTGCGGTTTCCGTGCACCCAAAAGCCCAGCCACACGCCGATTTCCGCCCAGCAGCGCTGGCTCTGCCGGAACTTCCACAGCGGCGCTGGGGGGCTCTGGCGCAACCTCTCCGGCCGACAGATCCGCACAACCTAAAAACAACGCAGCAAGCGTGCTGCATCGAGGTCGCCCGAAGTTCACCGACAAAACGGCCCCAAAACAAACAGAAGAGACCACGTGTATTTGCTTGGGGGGCCGACTGAAATTGGCCAACAAAAGATCATGCAGTGCAGTGCCTCGGAAGGCTCGCTCACCCACTTCAGCTTGATGTACGCTCGCCTCACCGGCCGTTTTTCGGAGCGCCAGGGCGCGAGGGACCCCCAAAATGGTGCTCCTCTTGGCCTTCTGCATCCAACCTCAAGTGAATGCTACCCCTCCAACAAAAAACACCACATCTGGCGTGGAAGATGTGGGCCATGGTCATGGTTCCCATTGCTCTCGCTCGCAATGCAGGTCAAAGCTACTGGTCCTTGATAAGAATCACTAGCGAGCTGCAATGGCTCCCCTTGCGGCTCTGAATCAGGGCCCATTCTTGCAAGGGGCTGTCTTTTTTGGGGGGATCCTTTCAGAGGAGTGTCGCCCCAGACTGGACGATGTTTGCCATGAGGAGATTGGAAGTTTGATCCCAACCGAAAGTGTCCAAGCCACTAAGATGCAGCCCAACCGATAGTTGGCTTCGAGACGCTAAAGGCTTTTTAGCGGCCCCGCCATCCCCACTAACTGGGTGCCATCTACGAAATCGGTCAGGAATCGGTCTTGTAGCGCTCAAACCACTGACTTTGGTTCTACCAACATGTGTCAACCCCGGATTCATCCGGAGGACCGTAACAATCAGGTAAGTTGACCCCTGTGTTCGGCGCCCAGTTCCTCTGAATAGGGCCCCCGATGTTGCTTTCCGAGGTTGACATTAAGGTCTTAGTCAGGCCTCACCATGACCCCAGAAAGTTGAAGAGCGACATGGATGAGGAACAAAAGGTGGCAATTGTGGCCACGGGTTGGGAGGTTGAAGCGTTTGCCCGCTGTGGGCGTCCAAAGCCTCACCATCCGTAGAACCGCCGAAATTTGGACGACGAGTCCAGCCGAGTTAGACCTCAGCCATCCCGGGCGCCCGGCTCGATGAATCGCTTGAAAGCGTCAGGGGAGCTGCCCTGAGCAAATGGCAAGAGGGCACTTAGGATCTTCGGAGGCAGCCAGTGGTTAGCCAACCCCCCAAAAACAAGGTTTACCCCACTCAATGGGGGACTCGAAAACGTGTGTGGTAACCTCCTTTTGACACCCGTTTGGGACAAGGTTGGCATACGTCCAAGAGGAAACCTAAACTTCTGGCTAGTCTTAAAGGACTGCCCTTTGCCAACATGTGTCTCCAAATTCAAGGCACCTTCCTCTTGGCTTCCCTTTAAAACCATGCAAAAGTGGGTTGTCTTTGAGACAACACCGAGCGTGTGTTTTCGGGGGGGGAAAACCTGAGACCCTCCCACAACCAAGAGTCTTACCTGATCGAAGGGTTCTGCGAACCTCTCTGGGTAGGGGGCCCGTGATGTGTCCCCAATGTCTGAAGAGGGGGGGCTGCTTTTCCAACCCCAAACCACCTTCTGCTTTGTTGCCGTTTTGCCTTTCTCCGTGCACTCTAGGATGCAGCTCTCAGCAATGAAGGAATTCAAAGTACGTCTACATACAAGCCGCATACAAGCTGCAACCGAGAGAAGCCTTACATTATGCTCGGTGTACTCGCTTGCCTGGGCGTCTTCTCACCTGAGTCTTTGTACGGGATCTTCATTAGGAACTCTCATTGGAGGGTGCATTGGCGACAACTCAGATCTGCTACGGATTTGTTGAAGAGTCAAACCGCATTGGGAGGCCCAGTGTTCAGGTCATTCCGTGAAGCGTCAGCGATGCAGAATGTTGGATCCTTTCAGGCAGGGGAATGCTCAAGTGGCTTGCACTTCAAGCAAGCATTTGAGGTAGATAAACCGACTTATGTTCAATGATCTCAGGGGGTCTGCCCAAATCAAAGACGGGTGGCTCGTCTTTTTTTGGGGACCCAAATTGGTGGTTTGCCTATTGTTTTCTTTTAAAACCATCAAAAAAGTGGCACCCTCAAAGAAAGACACCCCCGGACAAAGAATTCAAGGGGAGAAAAATCCACGCCGACTTCTGATTGGGACTGTCCCCTACTTTCCTTTATGTACCCAAATATTGATTGTGGCTCACCTAAGTCGTGTTGGCCCTGTCCATCCGCTGGCTGTCTGGCTACCACCGGCCCCATAGAACAAAGGAGCCCCAAAGTTGAAAGGAGCAAAGTCGAAAGGATCCCCAAGGGAACCCCACCACTTGGGTGTGTCTGTCTTTTTGAGGGGACCCTGTGCCATCCACAAAAAAACGCACCCGTCCCGTATGAGCCGAACTCGGCGCCTGCTTCACGCGCTCCTTGTCCGTGAGTCGTCCAAGGAACTGGCGCTGAGCAGCGGCGTTGCCTCCGCCATGACGCTCATCCAGCGACTGGCCGGAGCACACCGAGTCAGCGTCTCATTTTTGGACGCAGTCAACGTGGGCTTGTCTCAAAATGGGGGAACCTTCAAAATGGGTGGTTCTCCTTTCGGTGCCCTTGAAGAAACCCCAACACGGGTCCAAAAAAGGACACCCGCTCAAACAGGTGCTTCGACTTTGGGGGAATTGACCACTGAGTTGAAGTGTGCCTTGAACTCAAAAAGCGGAAACCGGCTAAAAGTGAGACGTGGTCAAAAATCACCCTCAAATGGGGGGGGGCATAAGCGAGACCTCCCCAAAGTAACTTGGACTCAGTG